TGGAATGTGTCTTAACATTGCATATAAGGCTCTGTTGGCTTTATCTGCCATGTTTTGTCTGGCTTCAGTAAATTTCCCATTGGACTGCATTGTAACACCTAAGTAATTATTATAGTAATTATAGGAGTTAACACAGTTGATAAAGTATGTAATTAATAGTATTTCTCACAGTCAGAAATAATCACATAAAATATATAAATAAATAATAAATTAATTACAACTATTAAAGTACATAAATAAATGCGCAAATAAACTATTATGACATGAAAAGTTATGTAATGCCAACGTCGTATAACAGTTATAGGTATACAGGTGTGCAGGTATACCGGGGAGCTCAGTGTTCTGGTATTTACACGGTATGACTTCCTTGGTAGATATCCTTGGTAGATATTTTACCATATCCTGTTGGTAAAATGGCTATTAAGTCATTTATATTTATATATAAGATGCTCCAAACATTGCCTTTGTTTGTCTCTAAGTTGTAGCTCCTGCAACAACTCCGAAACTATAATATCTACTGTTTTTGAAATGTTCATTACTGAAAAAATAGAGGCAGAGGTTTGCTTGGAGCGAGCGCCCTCTGTGTGGATGACCTATGGGACCTATGCTGAGCTGGGACTGTGACGTCACAGCTATAACGAACCATGCAGTAGTCGGAGCTGTCCGATGGTTAGGCAGGGAGTGTAATGTTTATATCATATCACCGACATGTTACCAGGATTCCAAGCATTATGAAGAAATTAGCATATTTGTGTGTGAGTATATTCGTCCGTGATTCTGTTTGTTGTATAACTTTGAAAACCACTATACCAACAAATACTTTATAAGGCCATCGTAGGTGATATAGTTTATGTCAATCTGTGGATTATACACATATTTTTGACTGTTATTTGCTATATGTTATGTTTCTAAAGTTATTGTGAATGTATAATAACTCCCTACATGGATGGTTATAGTAAAAAATGTCCCCCCTCGGGTTAGTTTTTGATAACTCCTCCCAGGAAATATACGACGGTGTTTCAGCACCCCGATAAACATTTTTTTTCGCCAATACCCCTTAGATGATCATTCCCCCAAATGTACCCCACATAATTAACAATCCAAAATGTACCCTTCAGAAGCCCATAGTAAAATCATCACCCTGTGGAATTCATTTACGCAGACTTCTCGGATTTGTACCATCCACATGGGAGTGTGGTGTGGATACAAACTGGAATGTTGCATAACTTTCTATATGCCGTGTCAGGCCACTTGACTGCTAGCACAGGCAGACACTTCAAGCAGACAATAGAAGCTAGCAGACACTCTAGCAGCTACATTATATCAAGCATAGCAATTCTTTAAATTAATGATTATCATATTCCTTTTTATCAAGGTTTTACCACATCATATTAATGAAAATGCATAATATTCATTTTATCAGAGCAATTATAACAAATGTATTCACTCCCCCAAAATGTGAATTTTTATGTGCGTGTATTTATGCATTTTTATCAGAGGAATTCTAACAAATGTATTCACTCCCCTCGAACGTGAAATTTTATGTGCGTTTATTTATACATTTTTCCTAATATTTTTATTGTAATTTATTGTGTCCTAAGGTAGAAGCCTAGTCATAAGTTTTGACAAAATTGGTCATAAATCGCATGACAATGTTATTAGTTTATTTTGTACAACTGAAGTTAATGTCCCATGGTACAATTAAATAGCATTATTTTGTCTGTTATAGTTAAGCTTTTCGAGAAACATGTGAAATATTTCTTGAAAATTGCTAGTTTTAGAATAATTCCATAGAACACAATGTTAAAGAAAAATTGCATTTTTGAAATTTTTTAAATAATTCAGAACAAAAATCAGGACTCCATCATCATCAACAATATATGATTTTTTCAGCCTACTTCACCAGGCTAGATTGTGAGATATTGCATAATATCTCTGCCATAGAAACATGTGGTAAAAGTCTTATAATAGTGTCAAAATTTCAACCATCAATTTCTTGAAAAAAAGGCAGGTGACCCCCAACTTTCAATATCCTTATATTGCCTTGGAGTACATTATATTGCAAAAAGAACAAATTTTGGGTATTTTAATTTATGAGTAGGCTTCTACCATAATTATTAAATGTCACCTATCACAAATTGTAGAATAAACACAAAAACTTTCAACAAAATCTAAGGAAAAGTGTATATATTCATGCACATAGAAATTCACTTTCAGGGGAGTGAATACATTCACTAGTATTGCTCTGTTATATTATGCATTTACATTGATATATTGAAGTCAAACCATAATTATTTGATGAAAAAGGATACGATAAACATTGATTCAAAGAATTGTTATTGCCTGATAGGCTTAAATACTAGCTTCCACTGTCTGCTGTTGTTGTCTGCTTACTTCAGCTGAGAGCCACTTGACTAGAGCAATGAGACAAGAACAGACAGTGTAAGTCAGTCAGTACATACATGTTCCATACATGATATTAGTACACACTCAATTATTTTATTCTAAAACTGTTGATTTGGTCAGAGAATGTCTGTTAACCACCAGACTTTATCATCAATTTTTTTCTGCACTTTTTACTTATATTCTTCAATATTTCTAGAAATGAACCCTAATTTTGGAGCCAACAGCCAAAATTTGAGTCAAGTTTTCACTTCAAAATTTTGGCTATTTTTGTCTTAATCTTCTGAAGGAAAGTACTAGAAATTAGTGATTTAGTCAGAGTGTGTACTAATGAATAAAGGTCAACTTTAACAATCATGATTTAATATTATCTGAAAGTAGTCAAAAGTATAAGGCATTGTTGAAAATGACATGGAAGAAAATGCAACATCAATATATGGATATAAACTGCATTATAATCAAGCTTGCTTCCAAATGCCCACGCATATCCTTACCTATGTGTAGATAGGTTTATAAATAATATTATACTTTCAGACGATTAGTTTGTTCCTTTGGTCTGCGTCTGAAGCAATATTACAGGATGTTCTAGACAAGTTCAAAGATGATGGCTATGAGCCAATTACTAACGGATTAGGCTGTACCTATATTTATATGGCAAATTCATTGCAGTTCAAGAAACCTGCATATAACGTAAGTACACAATTCTGAATTGTTATTATTTGCCATCACGTATTGAACAATACTGGATAATTATGAATGACTGGAATATATCAATCACATTTTTTTGACAATTGGAGGCAAGCCAATTGTTTAGGACCATGAAAAATGAAACAAAATGATCATGGTAAAATCCCCTGCTTGATAAGTTCATTTTTGAATTCAAACCGCCGTCTCATGTGATATAATTTTAAATTCACGAGTATATTGATTGCCTCTCAACACATTATTGATTCAACCAAACGGATAACAATGTCTTTTTATGAACTGAAATCTAGTGTAGGTCTAGTGTAGTGAAAGGCATAACTTGTCATATTGATTGTGCAGGTTTATATTATTAGGCAAAAGTAACTTCTAGTATCCAGCTAGTATTTTGTTTATATTTTATACAGTTTACAGATAATACAAAATTACAGGAGTTACAGAGTCAGTGTGAAAGTCTGGATAACAGTCACTGGAATGGTACACTTTGTGTCTGTAACCACGGTTGGTATAAGAATATATTGACTGCCCAATGTGATAAATGCGTACCATGTTGTGATAGTGATGTACAAACCGTTATTGCATGTGTTAACCAAAAGCTTGTGAAAGATGTGTGTAGTAAAGTAAAACCGTGTGATCATGAGGGTAAGTCAAACCACTGGTATTATTAGTCCCCGTTCGGACGAAGTCCGAAACGGGATCTTATATAATTCGGTCTCCGTCCGTTCATGCGTCTGTCCGGAGTCATATCTCAGAATCCCTTGGACCGATTTCGTTCATTCTTTGCATGTGCCTAGTGCTTTATGTAGGACATATGCACAAGCAGTGGTTTAGCGATTTGATTCAAAATAGCCGACTGGCAGCCATTTTGTTTTTTTGAAAATGTTGTATTTTGGACATGCTTTGTCAGTTGTCATTCAGACTTGGTACATAGATTATACATGTTAGGATACATGTCCATGACGATTTATTTTGCAATTGGATCAAAGATGGTCGACTGGCAGGCATCTTGTTTTTTGTTTTTTATGCGGTATCTTGAAGGTGCTCTGTCAGTTTTCATTCTAATTTGGCACATACGTATACTTTATACATGTTAGGATGCATGTCCATGACAATTTGTTTCAAAATCTGGTCAAGGATGGCCGATTGACAGCCATCTGACTTTTTGGCCTTACTACTATATTTCCACAATTTATGTACCATTTTCATTCGTATTTGGCACATACATCATACATATCAGTGTGTTTCATAATCAGATTAAAGATGGCCGAATAACGGCTGTTTTTATTTTTAGCCATATTACTACTACACGGAACACATGTTTTGATGTAAATATACAATCTGTTGTATACGCCACTACAACCCCTCCGCTTTAATATAACGAGCACAAGGAGAACTTTCAAAAATTTAACGGGGACTGTGTCATTTTCAATAACTTGTTCAATTTTGTGTTATAGTCATACTAATGTTTTGCTACACACTTACAATCACGTTTAATAAAAAAATGATGTATGGTAAGCAGACTGGTAACCATTAATACACATTAGCTAATTTACATACTACATTTGTAATTAACTGTTTCACAATGTTTTGTTTGTATCGTAACATTTTGCTCGAATTGATTAAATGTACAAATCAAAAATCTAATAATATTTTGCAATTTATTTGTACATACCGGTAATAATTAGCTTGTTTTCATTCTGTGGTATCCTGTCAGAGGTATGCGACTCTTGGCATGTACAAGAACAACTTTCTTCTTTTCATTGTTACACCCCAGAAAATTTAAATGTGGTTCTTTTGTTTTGTGTGATTTTAGGACCCACACCTAGAAGACAATTTTGGGATTGGAAAACTAAGCAACCATATCTTGTTATAGGCGGAGGAGTTCTTGTATTGACTGTGATAGCAATAGGTGGATGGAAACGACATAAAATCAAAAGAGCACTATGTATGTATTAAAATCGTTGCACTATATATATTAACTGCATAAAATATAGTTTGTGACTGTTTATGCCTTATACGATTTGATCACACAGTTTGAACTATCGGCATCTATAACATACCTGCCACATGCTAATACTTACAATATCAATATGCACCAGTACAAAAGTACTGTTCTCCATGTGCATATTTTTGTTTAATGTTCAGTGACTTTTTGCATGTTTATGATGTTGCTAGCCAATTACCACTAAATTGTAGTATTTAGATGTTATTTAAGTATGAGTTTTTATAGATAAATTCTGTCTACCTGATTTTTTCCCTCGGGGATCGCCGGAAACTGGCACCATCTAGTGGTCATCATGGCTGGAAACAACTGAATCAATCGAGAATCAATATGCTATTTCCCCAAATGAGTAAACAACTCATCCATGTGTCTTGTAACCTAGGCCGGTTTCTACAAACTTGCAGTAGTTGTGTGCTTCATCGCATTAGTGATAGAAACCTTAAAAAGAGAATCCTTAATAGTACTTGTACTTAAAATTTTGTGTTCGACATATTTGAGCTATTGTTGTAGGATGTACATATTACTAACAGATCTAAAAACCACACTCACCTAATAACGGAACTAGAAACCACTCCCACCTAATAACGGAACTAGAAACCACTCTCACCTAATAACGGAACTAGAAACCACTCCCACCTAATAACGGAACTAGAAACCACTCTCACCTAATAACGGAACTAGAAACCACTCTCACTTAATAACGGAACTAGAAACCACTCTCACCTAATAACGGAACTAGAAACCACTCTCACCTAATAACGTAACTAGAAACCACACTCACCTTATGACGGAACTAGAAACCACACTCACCTTATGACGGAACTAGAAACCACACTCACCTAATGACGGAACTAGAAACCACTCTCACCTAATAACGGAACTAGAAACCACTCCCACTTAATAACAGAACTAGAAACCACACTCACCTTATGACGGGACTAGAAACCACACTCACCTTATGACGGAACTAGAAACCACACTCACCTAATAACGGAACTAGAAACCACTCTCACCTAATAACGGAACTAGAAACCACACTCACCTAATAACGGAACTAAAAACCACACTCACCTAATAACGGAACTAAAAACCACACTCACCTAATAACGGAACTAAAAACCACACTCACCTAATAACGGAACTAAAAACCACACTCACCTTATGACGGAACTAGAAACCACTCTCACCTAATAACGGAACTAGAAACCACACTCACCTAATAACGGAACTAAAAACCACACTCACCTTATGACAGAACTAGAAACCACACTCACCTTATGACGGAACTAGAAACCACTCCCACTTAATAATGGAACTAGAAACCACACTC